TTCTTATTCCAGGCTTTTCACACAACTTATAAATACATCTTCTAATACAAAGTAAGATTGTCAGGTAATCACGCGGCTCCCCCTGGGAGCTGGGAATTAAATTAAAAAAAAAAAAGAAAAAAGAAAAAGCAATACTAGAGGACACATGAAGCTGGCAACATTGGTCTGTACTCAATGTCTTCTCAATAACCTAAAACAAAAAAAGCAGCTTCATTTCATTTTACCCCATTTTTGTTCAACTGAGTTCATAACCAATGTCTTGTCCAGCATACCTTCCTGGGCAGAGCCTCCACTCAAAACCAGTGAGATTTTAACTACATAAGACCGACAGGTCTGTGTTGCTTGTCTCTTCTCATTGTATTAATTGTTAAGGCTAAGGCCTTACTCTTCCGTAACAATTAATTCAAATACTTCAGCTACTACTATGAAGCACTAGATTTTTTTCTACCTAGCCTTTACGACAGGCATTGAAAAAGCTTCTCCGGCTGTTATCCAGAACTTCCCTGAATTGAATTTTCACACTCAATTTTTTTCATTACTCTGAAGAGAATCACAAAGTAAAAGCTCAGCATATCTATTCTCGTTCTCTCTGAAGAGTCATTGCCTGAGATGTCACATATGCAATATTTTCTATCTGTAAGTTTACCTTACCTGATTCAGATACGCAAATATGTCGTGAATATCAGAGCAAACCTTTAGCTGAATTTGCTCTCTGCAGCCTCTCCACAGGAACAGTTGCGCATGTGAAAGCTTCGTTTGGCCAGAAAAAAAAACAGGAGAGAAAATTCTGCTTTTTTCCCAGAAAGCAATATAAATGCATGTGTACAAACGTGGCCACGCAATAGATACAACATATGAGATAAATCTCATACATCGGGGTTTACTGAGGGAAGATAGCTCGTGAGGACCTGTCAGCCCACGTACAGAATGATGCATGTAGCATTGATTCTGTCATTTATAGTCAAGTGACACAGCTTGAATTTCCTGACTGGTGCAGAGAATAAAATACTGTGAGTACATTCACTTACTACATTTCTGAAATTGCAGGTGTTTTGCAAGCCTGTAGGTAGATGAAGTCAATCAAATTAATCATTCTGAATCATTATATTCCCCTTAGAATAGTTTTGCTCTATAGATTCCTGAGTCTGACAGGTATCATTTTCCGTACTCCACAGAAGTGTTAGCTGACGCAAGCAGAATTGCGTAACTTGCTCAGGTCACCTGTCAATTTGGTGATGAGCCAAGGCTTTAAGCTCAAGATCTCCTTGAACTCTTGATTTTTCAACACATCAGCTTTAGGCAGGAAGCAGAGAATGCCTTATCCAATAAAAGCCAAGGTGGAATTTAGGCAGGCCAGTGCAAGTACGTCAAACTATGGGCAGTGAAGCAAATGTAGCAACCTTACCCTTTGGAAAAACAGCACAATATAGTAAATTAATGAACGAGTTAATGAACTCGGCATTACTTCTTAAAGTCCCCCATGTACAGATACCAAAGCTGGGTAGGCTCCTTCTTCTCCTTCACACAACTGACATCTATTTGAGTAATGTAGCCATGCATTAGTTATTTGTTGACTACATTTTAATGAGCATTCTTGTCATGGACTGTGCTGCACCAAATGCTTTTTTTCAAGGACTTACAGTTTACTTGTATTGTGGTAAGATTAAGAGGCCAGCTGAATGCTAGGGTCCACTGTGGCAGTGCACACACGTGGAAGTTGAGACTTTTTGGGTAAAATTAAAGCAACAGCATAATTAAATAGTAATTCCACCTAAATAAGAGGCTTTAGACTCCAGATCTATTTTTTTAAATCATGAAACTAGAACAATTACGGTATCAAATAAGAATACATCAGCATCATTTTCTTAAAGACGCACAGCACTTACTGCTGCATTTTAGAGCAACAGTACCATATGGAAGAATCTAGTTCAGTCTTCTCAAGATAGCTGAAACTGCTCTCTGCTGTAAGGTGTAGGTGTCTGCAAATTACACAGCTTCTTGAGTCAGTAGTGATCTAGGTTGCTCCATTCATAATTAGATTTTTGATTGGTACCTATCCAGATCATCTCATTCATAGTATGATTTACAAGTGGGGATGGAGACAGACAGGCAAAGCAGTAATTGAGGGAATACCAGAAGAACTGCTTCTCATGACAGAAGTATTTCCCATGCCTGCTATTGTCAGAAATTTCTTAGACAGTTTGCTTTGCAAATACGTATGCATTGGCCATTGAATCTATCCTCCCTGAGGGTGGCTCCAGCCCAGTTTAAAATCAGAGTTGCATAATACATGCCCATTGCATCTGTAAACTAGCAAACCTAGAAATCCATTGAGTGTTTAAGTTGTGCTTGCTTCAACAATATCAAGGGTGCAGGCTGTGAATGTTCAGGGATCTGCTCTTTTCTTAAATATCTGCAACTTTTTAACCTGAGCAAAAGTCACATACATGCCAGTGAAGATAACTTGAAAGTAAGGGCACTGCGATAAGCAAAATTCAAATGACTGATTCAAGCTACTCCAAACACTAGAGCACATTGTCATACCCTGGCTATTTCTTTCTCCCCTATATGCAGCATAGAGGGAGACAATACCTGCAAAGTTATCAGGCCTGATCCTGCAAGACCCTGAAATTCAAGGGAACTGAAGGTAATCGACAGCAGCACCAGGCTTTGTGGTTTCATGTGACAGGAATTAAACTGCAGACTACGTACAATGTCAACTACTTGCAGTCTAGTTGTGTATTTTAAAGGCCAACAGAAACAACAAGGAATATTTTGTGTTCTATAGAATATATATTTAAACATCTTTTACCTGGATAATGTTCTTGACTAAGTTGTTTGGTTTTTTTTAAAGTCTAAACCCCTCCCCCTCCCTCCCCCCTCACTATTCTACGTGGTACTACAGGGGAAATTGTTTATGTTATATGGGCCTAATGTAATATCAGATAAAAATCAACTGTTACATGATATTCTAGTCTCCAGTGAAGAAAAGCAAAGCTATAAACTTACAGAAAATTACCTCCCTTTCTTGTGTTTCAAATGAGAAAATTGCTATTACTCAAGCAACGTTAGTTGGCAGTTACAAGGTAGCACAGTGAGCTAGAAAACCAGATTTTCACTTGTGTACAGCTAACTTCAACTTGACATAGTATTAAAAAAAACCCAAGGGGAGGGAGAGGAAACAGTCTTATCTCTGTGACCAATACAAAAGCACTGGACACCTGCTGAGCTGTTCAGGAAAACCAAACAAAAGCAATAATTCTTGAACACTCTAGATGGCTTTGCAGAACTATAACACTTTCAGAGAAACTTCTGCTTTTACCCCCTGTTTTTGCAGGAGCTTCGTTGTTCGTATTTGTAAACAAGTCTTTCACCTGATTTCTGTCCTTGACAAAGGAACTGTAATTGGTGATCAACATCTCTTCTAGATGGCTAAAGAAACAGTAAATTCTTTGAGAGATCCAATAAGAAACAAAGCAACCCAGCAGCTTTATAAAGGAATAGAAAAATTACCAATCTTAAATGTTACCAGTTGGAAGTCTCTATTCCTCTTAGATATTCTCATTATTTTAAACTGCACATAAAGCTTTTCCCTCCTATAATCATAAAGCTTCCCTCAGTCTATAATCATTATGAGGTAGCCTTGGCTTTCTACATTGAAAAACACTAATCATGAGGTTAAGACATACCTAAGTCTTTTCTAACAGGAAAGACAGTAACATTTGACACAATATCTCACAATTTATTTTCATATCTGAAACTAGAAGTCTACTCTAAAATTGTATGTAAGAAAGAAACACAAGTAAAACTTTAAGGTTTTTTTCTATAAAGCAGATAAAGAAACAGGTTTTTTCAAACAAACAAACATGGGCTCAACAGGTGTACCAAAACAGGCAATATGTGAAGAGAGTGGTGGTCTACACGCATAATCTTTAAAACTGAGAAACCCTGCCAAGTTTCGAAAAAGAAAAAGAAAAAGAGAGAAAAAGAAAAAAAGAGGTAAACTAAGACTAAAGTTCATGTAAACAATTCACCCTGCATTCTACATATAGGTCCTCTATAAAGCTACCTTTATGAAAAACAAAGTCAGAAACCTAGGATTGAAAAGATATAAAGCAGATAACCTTTTGCCTCAAAGGACAGAGTTTCAGCCTAGTAAAAACATAACTGGAATTCACAGAGTTTAAGAGAGAATGGACAAGAGTTACCTGAAATTTTGACTTTTTTAGCTGTCTAAATTGACATTTTATCTGAATGGCAACAATTCTTCCAACTTAATCCATCCTGAGTACATCATTAGCAGGTCTCAAACATAGCTAGCAAAGAAACTATAAAATACAAAGATAGCTTCAAATACATGAGGAAACGTCCAGTGTTCTCTCAGGACAGCTTTGAAATGCCTTCATTAAAAAACACATCCAATTTATGTCTCAGCAAGTCATTACATATGACTACCATTGCCAGGTTCCCAAATATTTTTAAAGTAACAAAATAACCCATGCATATTAAAAACATTTTAAAGTAACACTGTCATGAAAACAGAAAGGGACTAGTATTAAACTCCCTTTGTTTGCAAACTAGAGAAAAGGAAACTCACAGAAGGACCAAATCCTGTTTACAATAGACCTATGACCAGAATTGCCTATGAGGGGTTCTAACTGCAGCCTCTGACAAGGGCTGTCTGAGGAAGCCTCTCTCTGTGAAGAAGCCTGTACCACGAGCCCCATTTTGCAACCACACAACAAAACAAACAAGGAATCCCAAACTAGATTTCGGTTGTGAGCGTTTTGCTCTGGCTGGAAAGCAGCAGACTGAAGGAGACAAACTCCCCAGAAAAGCAGAAGCTGCTATCTAACATATTACCATAAATATTTAACAACAACTTACATAAAGCCCACAAAAACAAAGTCACTTCTTTAAAGGAAGGGTGTTTTCTTGTCGTGCTAGGCTGTATTTTCCCGGTCAGCCACTGAAGTCTGAGATACGGAGCTGTCTCTTACCTGAGCTGATCATACTGTGCATTCTTTGCTGAGCCAAGAGCTGTTCACGTCCAGAAACCCCATCTGAGGAAAAACACGATTCACTCTCGTAAATTGTCTGCAGCATATTCCAACTGGTCTGCACTTCAGCTACATGAGAGATTCATCACTGCACTTGCACAGGGGCGTCGGGCATGACCCTCTGCAGTCCTACCTCCTCCAGTGAGGGTTGTAAAATAATACGCTTCGGCAATTAGCAACGTCTAGGCATTTGCACAAGTATCTATCGGGAGAGGGGAAAAAAAAACCCCAAACCTCAAATCCACTCTCAGCAGCCCCCGCCTGCTGGAAGGGAGCCGTGAGCGTGCGGGGGGCTGTGCGCCGCCGAGTTTGAGCAGTTGCGTTCGGGCAGCCAACGGCAGGTGGAAGAAGAAATGAAGAAATATCTCTGCGCTTTGGGATTTCTGGTGCGGCAGGGGGGTGGGGGAAACACAGCCTCTTAAAAACCATCAAACAAAATAAGCCCCATTTCCAGGGACCGGGAGCCCCCGAGGGTTTTGTCTGAATTACCCCAGCCCGGACCAGTGTTGCTGTCCCCGCGCCCCTCTCCTCTCCCGGGCCGGCTCTCCCTCGGCCGGGCGGCCGGGCGAAGTTGGCGGGAGCAGCAGCAGCGATAACTCATTTGCATTTGAATTGACACCCGCGTGGCCCAGCAGCGGCAGAAATAGAACAATGGCCGGCCTGAGCCAAAAATAGGTCAAGCATGGCCGGGTGATTGGAGCCTGCATTAATGTGTTTAAAAATACCACAGCAAACACAGCTGTCCAGTCTCTGTCTTTCAAACCGCCGGCCGTCCTTCCTCGTCGCTCGGCCTCGAGCGCGATTAACCCCTTCCTCCTGCCCGGCCCGTTTCGGTGGGGAGAAGCCAGGGAGCTAGGAAGGGAAGGCAGGGAGTGGGACAGAAACACTCCTGGCCCGGGACTTGCGCCCCTCTCCCTCCTTGCCCTCCCCCGGGGAGTATTTTGTGAAAAGCGAGCAAAACGCCACGGCCGCTGAATCGGTCCTAAAATAACGCTGGGAGGTTTTGCTGGCGATGTGGTTTCTGCCTCGCCCACGCGCAGCCATCCTGCTGTTCTATTTTTGCTGCCCGTTTCTCTGGCTACGCCGCAGTTGGCTTTGGCGGGGGAGCCGGGCTGCTGCCTGCTCCCTGCAGGACCTGCAGCCGCCTCGGGAGAGGCGATTTCTGAAGCTAACAGGGCTGGGGAGAGAGCAAAAGCTGGGGGCAGATGTTAACAAGGGACCGAGTTTTGTGCGTTCGGTTATAAGCAGCCTTTCCGTATTTAGCACGCTTGATATAATTCTTCTAGTAAGTCACCAGTTGTGGCACAGCACGTTAGACACGCTCACCGACTATGCATTATTCCGTTGACTTGCTAAAATTTGGAGAGGGGCTGAGCAGCTCACACTTATTTTTAGAAGCATTAGGCAATTTGTGCTGCATCTTTCTCAGTTTTACAAGATGATGTGCTTTCAGAAGAGCAGCGTTCAACAGCATATCAGACAACAGCACCACGCTCCTCTGTGTCTTGCAGGTTTCACACATGCTATATGAGGTTTATTTTTCATAACGGTATTTCAAAAGTTGCATATCTTGTTTGCTGATTAATATACCTATATGTAGGTAAGTTTCCTTTCTCTGTTACAGATGGTACTTTACTTCTCAGGGACCTGCTCTGCCTTACAGCACTTGTTACACAGCTGACCAAAGTCTGTCAACTACCTACATACATGATACAGCACACTGACCACTCACCTACAAAAATTATGAGTCCCCTTCCACGTTCCTGCTTTAGGGGTGAAACAGTGGCAGTGGGACGTGATTCCTCACCAGAATCAACAAGCCAATGCAGAGGTGATTTCAGAGATTTCTAGAAATCCACCAAATTCTCAACTATCTCCATCACTTTTTGCTCCTAAGGATGCAAGAATCTCCTGATACTTGAGGCTTGGTTCTGCATTTTGGCTGACAATCAGCTGTCTGATCTTCAACTAACATGACACACTGTAGCCAAGAGCTACAATTTTTTTTTTAAAACTTCTCATAATTGTATCACTGAAGAAAAGATTCACAATAACAAAGTACTGTGATATTTGGATACTTGATGGCACCTGAGAGGTCTGTGGCTTAGGTCTCCTCCATTATCCCAAATCTTTGCTTCCTCCATGTGCCAGATGACCTAGTCCTGCTTAAGAGTAAGGACCCGTCCCCTGGACAGACAGAGACTGCAGCAGCTGACACCAGAATTTTCATAGAAGAATAAAATCATTTAGGCTGGAAAAGACCTTCAAGATCATCGAGTCCCACCGTTAACCTAGCACTGCCAAGTC